TAACTCACTTGAATCTGAATTCCAGAGAAACAAATAATAACAAAAACATCACGTGTTGTTTACCCCAAATTCTCATTGAAGTGGGCATTTCCCCCTCAATCTGGCAGTCCTACCCACAGTGTCAGCTCTGTGCCCTGAGACTGGTCCCGGGTGGCCTTCCATAAATAGTGATAGAATTGATCTAATTCCGCAATTCCTTCATAAAACCTTAATCTGTTAGATACCGATGTCTCCAAGGACGTGCCCAAGTCCCCTTCTTTCGTCCCGATTCACCGTAACACTCCCACTCCTTCAAAATCCCTCAGCTCCCCCCTTTTAAACTAATTCCTCCCTCACACTCGCCATTCCCCCGGTAGCACCCCAGTTCCCAGCTAGTTGCCTAATCTCTTCCACGATTTCTCTAATCCCTTTCAACTCATCACATCTCCATCATCCGCTCCAGGGTCACCATGGCAACGCCAACCCTTGGGTACCTTTCCCTCCTTCCAGCACAGCTTGCCCACCCGTCACCATGGAGACGGAAGCGCGCTTTCCTCAGTCCCCCTCACCCGGAAATGGAGACCTTAAGCCCCGGGACACGGAGATACCAGAGACTGGAGAGGTGAGGGGGTCCCCACAATACTCAGTGCGTAAAGCGTCCGCCCGCAACTTTTCTCCCCACAGCCTCCAAGGCGCCCTGTAAGCAGCACAGGTTCAGATCGAGCTCCGAGCAGCCGATTCCGCTGCACATGCGCTCACGCTTAGCAACGGCATTGGCGGCGCTTAGCCTGCTGGGAATCGTAGTTTTCTGGCTACTTCTTCATGAAGCTGGCACCATGGCAACGATGGCGCGCTGGTAGTGGGCCATTGTTATTCTTTCATTTTTCTAAAGCGAGTACTTATTTTGCACCTGGCACTGGGGGCACAATGGAAACAAAAATAAACAAGGATCTTACCTTCAAGGGGCTTATAGTTTGGTGGGGGAGGTTGAATATTAGTAATAACAGCGAACACAGCGATAGGAAATATTATATCATTGGAGGCGTTCCCAGCTGCCCAGTCGGCCCCCCACCTTATTCTCTGCACCACAGAGCAAAATGCGGACAGTCTTGTTCTAGCCCCACGATCAGTTGGACGCTGGGCAGTAGTGGTCCACAGTTTTCATTGGCTGTTTTTCATAAGGTTGTCAGGCCTTTCTTCCTAGTCCGGAAGCTCTGCTGAAAGTAACAACACAAGAGTCTCTCCCGACAGGTGGATGGTGGCCGCCTATGACGTGCACTGGCCAGGAATCAAACCCAGGCATCCGGCATGGAATATGAGGATTCTACCACCAAGCCACTATCGCTCTCCCTGGAACAGAGATAGGCATAGTGTCTGAGGCATTTGACTGCTAACCAGAAGCCTGGTGGTTCAAACCCACCAGCCCCTCCTAGGAGGGAAGGTTGGGCAATCTACTTCCCTAGTGATACCGCCTCGGAAACTCAAGGAGGGGTCGCTATGAGTTGAGATGGACTCCACAGCAGTGAGTTTCTGTGAACATTACAGCTTTGGAAGCCCCATGAGGTAGTTCCACCCTATCCTCTAGGGGCGCTGTGACTCGGTATTCACGCCACCGGTACGTGTTTGTTCCTTGGTTTATACATAAAGTCCTCATAAGTCCCAGCCAACTGACAGCAACAACAGTGACCAGATGAGGGTAGAATGGATGGATGCCGGGAAG